CAGAACCAGAACACGTTAGGACCAGCAGAACTAGAACCAGTTAGGCCCAGCAGAACCAGAATACGTTAAGCCCAGCAGAACCAGAACCAGTTCAGTTCCATTAAAACCAGGACTAGTTAGGCCACCAGAACCAGTTCAGGCCCAAGAAAACCAGTTAGGCCATTAGAACCAGAACCAGTTCAACCATTAGAACTAAAACACAGACTTCAGTTCAGGTCCCACAGAACCAGAACCAAAACACAGAGTCCAGTTCAGTTCCAAGAAAACCAGAACTAGTTCAACCATTAGAACTAGAACACAGAGTCCAGTTCAGGCCCATTAGAACTAGAACTAGTTGGCCCATTAGAACCAGTTCAAGCCCCACAGAACCAGAAGAAAGGGTCCAGTTCAGGTCCATTTAAAGAGGTTTTCCTATAAGGAAACCAGCAGGTTCTGTTCAGTCTGAGTCCCATGTTTTAGAGTTTAGAACTTTAATCTGAGCAGGCAAGAGGCGACTGTGGGAGGAAAAAACTAGTCTAAACCAGTAAGAAAGGTGGCATGTTTGGGTCTAACTGGGTCTAACTGGGTCTAACAGGGCCTAACTGGGTCTAACTGGTTCTAACTGGGTCTAACTGGGTCTACTAGGTTCTAACTGGGTCTGTTCTGGGTCTAACTGTTTTTTTAACTGGGTCTAACTGGTTCTAACTGGGTCTGTTCTGGGTCTGTTCTGGGTCTGTTCTGGGTCTGTTCTGGGTCTAACTGTGTCTTACTGTGTCTAACAGGGTCTAACTGGGTCTGTTCTGTCTCTAACAGGGTCTAACTGGTGCTAACTGGGTCTAAAAGGGTCTAACTGGGTCTAACTGGTTCTGTACTAGGTCTAACAGGGTCTAACTGGGTCTGTTCTGGGTCTAACCGGGTCTAACTGGTTCTAACTGGGTCTAACTGGGTCTACTAGGTTCTAACTGGGTCTGTTCTGGTTCTAACTGTTTTTTTAACTGGGTCTAACTGGTGCTAACTGGGTCTAAAAGGGTCTAACTGGGTCTAACTGGTTTTGTACTAGGTCTAACAGGGTCTAACTGGGTCTGTTCTGGGTCTAACTGGGTCTAACTGGGTCTGTTCTGGGTCTAACTGGGTCTATCTGGATCTAACAGGGTCTAACTGGGTCTGTTCTGGGTGTAACTGGTTCTAACTGGTTCTAACTGGGTCTAACTGGGTCTG